TACTCAAAAGGCAGAAAATGGCTCATTTGCAAATTAAGAGACATGACCTATCTTCACCTTTTTCATCCAGCTTTCCAACCGCCTTTTCCTCTGGCAACCGTCAGTTTGTTCTCTGTATCTATGAGTCTCTTTCTGTTTCATTTGTTTACTTTGTTCTTTAGATTTCACATATAAGTGAGATCACATGGTATTTGTCTTTCTCAGTCTGACTTATTTCACTTAGCAATAATACTCTGCAGGTCCATCCAAGTTGTCGAAAATTTCATTCTTTTTTATGGCCGAGTAATATTCCATTGTGTATTGATGTACCACATCTTTTTTTAGCCAATCATCTGTTGATGGGCACTTAGGTTGCTTCCATATCTTGGCTTTGTAAATAGTGCTGTATGAGTAAATACCCAGAAGTGGAATTGCTGAGTTATGAGGTTGTTCTATTTTTAATTTTTTGATGAACCTCCAAACCATTTTTCATTTTCCATAGTGGCTGCTATAACCGGGGAATTCTTAAGAGATGGTTAATATAGATGATAGGAATCTTTTTGGTTGATTTTGTCACACTTGAGTTGCTGTTGCAGGTACTTTTAGCCTTAAGGAACTTTATTAGAGTTTCTTATAGGAGATTTCTTGGTGTATCTAAAAGCTTATTTACAGATCACAGTGATTATAGTACTTGTCAGAACTGGAAAGGTTCTAGCACTATCAACTGAAGGTCAGTCAAAAATGAAGATTAAGGGGCGGCCAGTTAGCTCAGTTGGTTAGAGTGCAGTGCTCATAACACCAAGGTTGTTGGTTTGATCCCCACATGGGCCACTGAGTTTCACCCTCCACAACTAGATTGAAACAACTTCTTGACTTGGAGTTGATGGGTCCTGGAAGAACACTGTTCCCCAATAAAAATTTAAAAAAGAAAACAAAAAAGAAGGTTAAGCACCTCTGAAATTATAATGTAGGTTAATGGAAGGATTTTTAAGATTAAAAATTCAGATTTATATGCTGCTTTAAGTGGTTCTCCATGTTTAATTTTTCCAAGTGTTGTCTTTACAACAAAATAAAGTAAAACTGCTTTTATTACTACCTTACCAGTTACTGAGTGGCTAACATAGTACATTGATCTATTTCTTCTTTCCCCATTTTTTAAAAAAAGCTTAATTGAGGTATAATTGATATACAGTAAGCTGTACATATTGAAAGTATACAATTTAAGTTTGGTGGTTTTTTTTAAAGATTTTATTGGGGAATTGAGGAAGGAGAACAGTGTTGGGGTATTGAGAAAGGGGAACAACCAAGTTGTTGTCCTTCAGTGTTATTTGTGGAGGGCGCAGCTAGCTCAGCTCCAAGTTCAGTTGCCATCCGGCCCCCCATTGGCCGCTTGTGGCTGCTCAGCTCAAGGTGT